TCTAGTTGGCTCAGTCTTTGCGAGTGGAGCTCCTGGCATCGGGTCCACTTGTGCTCCCAGTGTTCTAGGAGGGCTGACTGGATCTCTCTAAGCCAGGCCTCCCCCCTCGGCTCTGTGAGGCTCTGCTCCTGGGTGTTGCTCCCGGCTTGTCCTGGCCCAGCTTGCTCACCAGAGCACTCCAGATTTCGGTTACCCGGAGGTTCCTCCTTCCCCGGACCTTGTAGAAGAATAGCCCAGAGGTCTTTAACTTGTGCCTCAGTTTGTCTTAAGGTTTCTATGAGTGACCCCCTCTCCTGGAGTTCCCATTGTGTGGTTCTCCCATACTCCATTAATTGGCCTTCAACAGCCTCCAACTTCCTCTCTGGGCTGTCTGCGACCATCATGGTTTGCGATTCTTGTTATCTCCTGCTTGCCTCTCTACCTCTCGACCTCTTGGAACTAACTGAGTTCCCAGGCCGTTTGGCTATTTATCTCCAGGAGCTTTTGCTTGTCGCTTTCTATCTTCTGCAGCTCTTCTTTCAGGGCTTGAGCTCCCTCTGCAACTGGCTGTGTTCGGTGATGAGGTATGTCTCTTTGGCCCGGCTCTCCCTTAGGGGGACAGAGTAAGTCACTAGAAACCCTCTTAAATGATCTAGTCCCTCACTCATCTTTTGTATCTCCCGCTGTAACTGGGCCTTGTCTGTGGCTTCGCCTGCCTCTCTGGCTTGGCCATCCTCTAGTAGGGTTTCAAATGACCAAACTTGCTCCATGAGCTGATCTTTCTTGGTCTCTAGGCTCTGGACCCAAGATCTCAGCTCAGTGTTCTCTTTGCTCTGGTCTCCCCTCTCTCTCGAGGGCTTGACATTGCTCTTGTAGTGCCTCATAATTGTTCATATAACTTTTTACCTTCTCCATCTCTTGTACTATTATTTTGTTATCATTTTCTACTTGAGCCCAGTTAATATGCAGCTGTTCCCGTAGCTGTATAACCTCCTGCTCAGCTTCCAGACATCTTTCTTGCCACTTCTCTCTGTCCTCTCGTAGATCCTCTATCTGATCTTCCTGGCTACGGATTTCTTTCTGGAGGGCTTCTATTAAACTTTTTGCTACCTCTAACCTTTGTTGTAGCTCCCATTGTTCTCCTGTTTGTTTCGCCCCACCTTCAGGACAGTGTGCCCTCCAGGCCGCCAATTCTGCCTGTATCGTGCACAGCCTGTCCTCCCTGTCCTGGCTTCTCTTGGGCCATCGCCCGCTCTAATTTTCTATTTCTTTCCGCCTCAGCAGCTATGAGGCGTCGGATTTCCTTCGCCGCCCCATCCCTTTTTCCCAGCGACAGTTGTCGCTCCAGTGTGGCAGATTTAACCTCAGCCCCTTCTTTCTGGGCCTTTGCAAGTTCTAGCTCCTGTTCGAGCCGAACCACTTTTTCTTCTACCTCCCGCAGTCTCAATTGCCACACCAGCTCATCCAGCCCCTGGCTTTCCATAATCCCCTCCTGGGCCATTACTACCCGAGCCGCACCCTTTTGGCTCAGGGCCTCAGTTGGGCCACATGATTCCGAGCAATGGGTACCCTTATTCGGTTATACCTAATAAATTATTCTCAGTCTGTCTATCCTAACAATGGTTATTGTCAACACGCTCTACCACCGAGCTGTGACAACAACAACAACAAAAATCCCATCAACGTCCATCGTTAACCTAGCCCTAGGTTCATTCCTCCCCTTTTTAAAGGGACACGGGGTCTATCCCCCCCCCCCCGTGCACAGCCGGGTTCCCGGCCAATGCACCAGTTGTCACGGGGTGGGGCCTACGAGCAGCCATGATCCCGCTAGGTCCCCCTGCCGTGCCAATTAGGAGATCCAGCACCCTCTTAATTCTCGCCTGCCACGTCTTTGATCTTAATAGTTAATATGGGAGACTGCCTAGGATCTCCTATGATCTCAGGGTGACTTGGTGCACCCCAGCCTTATGGGCTATGCGTGCCTCCTACCTCCCCTTTAGCACGCCCCAAGCCTTGCAGCTCTTCCGGATGTTTTTAGTGTCTCCAATCTTATACTAGCCACTCCTGGGCTTTACTCTTGCAGGCTGGCCCCCCCCGGGCCTATGCCACGCGCTTCCTGCGCTCTTCCCTTCACTGGGGCCTGTCTCTGCGCCTCTGGCACTCTTGCCCCTCACGGGGCCTGTCCCGTGCCAAAACTGCACCTGGGGCTCAGGTGGCATGCAGCTGTGCCTGGCCCCTTGACCCTTCTCGGGGTCTTTATGCCATGCGCCTCCCGCGCCCTTGGCTCTCTCCACTGAGCCTGCTCCCGCGCCCTTGGCTCTCTCCACTGAGCCTACGTGCCAGCCCTGTCTTGGGCTTTCACCGGCGCTGGGGCTCAGGTGGCACGCAGCCGTGCCTGGCCCCCTGACCCTTCTCAGGGTCTTACGCCCTCACTAGGCCAAGTATGGCCCTCTTGGGCTGGGATCTCAACCCCACACCACATTGGTGCCCAGCTGTCGCGCCTTCCCGGCACTGCTCGGTGCCCAAACGGGGCACCCAGGAAACCCCCGGACTGCTGGGGATCTCCTGTGAGGCCTCCTCACACCCCTACAGCCTCACCCAGTCCTCCGGTCGGTACATACAACAGAACCATGAGCCCACCTGGCTGTAACAAAACAATAGGCCTACCAGCAATAACAAAACAATAAGCCTACCAGCCACAACATAAAGTCCAGGCCCACCTGGCTCTCTGACCCACAGCCTCCTGGTCAGGCTTCTCCTCACCCTGACCATCATGCAGCCCTCTGGGTGCTCAGGCTGCACTGCTTGGCTTAGCTCTCCTGCAGAGCTCTTACACCTCAGATTGCCAGAAGAGAACTGCCAGCCAGGCTCTGGCCTGGCTGTTTATAAGGGCCCGGCCCTGCCCCCTTCTGGTCACGTGACCAACCTGGTTGCTCCAGCAACCCGCACCTGAGCTGCCCTGGTGATTGGCAGCTCGGCCCATTTACCACTGCCAGTAGCAGGCACCCTGGTGCCCTGCTACAAGGTGATTGCATAATAGCTCAAAATAAAGTCTTACTCTTGTATATTGTGTGTGTGGAGGAGTGTGGGAGGTGTGTGTGTGTGTATGGGGAGGTGGGTGTGCATGTGTGTGGGGGTGCTCTCCACAAGCTACATCGTGGAGCTAGCTGGAAGGTGGGGCTCAGGAGGAGAGGGGCAGGGGGCATGTGCAGCAGAGCTCACCTGGGTGGTACAGGTGTAGGTACAGGTACAGGTTTGATCCGCCCCCCCTCCCCACCCCCTGCATGGGGCCTATGGCAGCCCCTGCGATGCTCCGCATATGGCCAACCCCTGCTCGCTCCTGTCTGGGGGAGGCTGTGCCGCACTCCCACCCTGTACTCGCTGGATGGTCTTGGCCCTGGACAGCATGCGCAGCTTCCTGATGGGGTTGCTTCTGGTGTGGCTGCAGCTGCCCCCAGCAATTCCTTCTCCTCTTCCTCTTCCTTTCCCTGCTGCGCTGCTTCAGGTGGGGGGGAGCTTCAGCCAGGCGGCTCCTGCCCCAGCATGTGGGACTCCAGCTCCTGGCTGCCTTTCACCCTCTCAGCTGCCCACAGGTGGCTGCTCATTGCACCAGGTGGGCAGAGTGGGTGGAAGGCAGGCTGGGAACTTGAAGTGGAGCCCCCCCTGCTCAGGCAAGTGCTGCCCAGCTGCAGCTTTGCCCCTGCCTGGAGTAGCATAGCAGGGGCAGGAGGAGGAGGAGCCACCAGAGTTGGGGGCAGCTGAGCAGCACCCAGGCAGCTGTACCAGGAGTAGCACCGCCAGGAAACTGTGTGCACTGGGTGAGGCTGGGGCAGGTGTGGGTGGGAGCACAGTGCAGGATGCCCAGGGTGGGAATGGGTGGAACTTGGCCCCCTCTGGTGTGCCATGGGGGCATCCAGGGGCCGGATCCAATCAGTTGGTGGGCTGGATGCGGCCCATGGGTCATATTTTACCCACCCCTGCTCTTGTACTGAATTGGCTTGGTAGCATTATCAGGAGAATGCAGCACACAAACTCTATTTCATTTCTTAAAAATTGAGTGAAATCTTTCCCCTTTTTTTTTCTTTCAAGATTCAAGCATGATAAATTAGACGGTAGCTATGAAGGGGAGGAGAGGAGGGTGGAAGCAAAGAGCAAAGCAAAGGTGTCTGTGTTACTTTTCAAGCAGCCTTCTGTATCTCCCTTTTGCATCAGAAGTTCAGGTGGAGACTCAGGCAAAAATGGGAGAGTGACGAGCTGCACTAATGCTGCAATTCCAGTGAGTGCTGTCAATAATGGCCACAAGGATTCAGTTCCTAGAAGTTCCCTGGAGAATACACGTTGACGTAAGAACTAAAATGTCCTTTCCAGACAAGCAAAACCTGAAGAATGGCACTTTGTGCCCTAAAGCGTGTTCAACATCTCTTCCCAGCTATAGAGTTGGTCCAGTAAAAAATATCATCCAAAGAACCCATCCATGCTTTTTATATGTTTCCAGCACCGTCACAGCTATAACAATACTCCAACCATCCCGAACGATTCAGAAAGAAGTGAGATTTATCCAATATGCTTTGCTGGATAAACAGGAAGGCCAAATTAAACTGGAGGGGGTAGTAATGAATATAATAATAGAAAACCTAGACATTTAAATGAAAATAGATATCTTCTTCTTACCTTAGTCCTGTCATTTGCCCTAAGAATTTTCCCATGGTTGCAAAGACAATGAAACTGGTGTTTATATATCCATGCAGCTGCTTAGGTGAAATTTCTCCCAGGAACTGGCCCTGTAAACAGCAACTCAGGCCTTGAAATGGGGGAAGAGACAAAGTTTGTTTAAAAGAAAGAAAATGTAACTAACACCCCATTGAAACTGGTAGTTTTGGTATTAACTTCAGTGGAACAAAGATTACTGAATTCTTCCAATTATAAGGCTACCTTTTTTCCCTTCAACATATCTGTAAAATCACATAGAATTTACTATATATGCAGGATTGATTTATAATCTGGGCCCGTACAATCTTGCAGTATTTTTTTCAGGGCAGCTTCTGTTTAGTATTTTTAGTGCATTTAATACTTTGGGTCCTTTTCTTGGTTATTTGGTTCTTCTCTGGGATATTGTAAGGGTGATAACAGTTCAAGGACTTTCTCTGTAGCTATCTATGTATATCTTGATTGGGGTGGGTGGAGCTGTTTTCCCTGCAGTTGAACTGAAAATGTTTCCTCCACTTATACGTAGGGTCAATTTATCATCTGAAAACTATAATAGTCCTACTACCCCATATTTAAATGAATGTTAAAAGAAAGAAGATCAAAAGCTTTTTATTGTAAATTGTATTACCCAATTCCTTTGAATTTTGTAATATGTCAAAGTGTTTTCTCTACATCTGGAATATTATATGCTAAATGTTCTTAAACAGGCCACTGTATTTCTTCTTTCTCTTTCTTAATTACTTGATTCCGTAACATATGTATATCAGCTGCCTTCTGACCCCCTATAAAAATGTAGTTAACTCATTCATTTTTGTCACAAGGGAATATCGATCCTGTCATATGGTTTAGTCTTGCAAATCTAGGGCATCTCACCTATTGTATATATAGAAGTTACACACAGCCTACCTGAATTAAAACCACAAAGGAAACGTCCAATCAAAATCATCTCAAAGGATTTTGCCATCTTCCTGAAGCCCATGAGAATTGCAGCTGCTATCATGGTCAGGTTATTGTGTATTAGGCATTTCTTTCTGTAACGGCACACAAGAGACTTCTATGAAGTAGGGAACACCACCTCTGTTGCTTTCTTATAGTGTCCTCTTTTTATCCCTGAATATACTGAAAACTGATGTCTTGACACTGAATCCAAAATTTGCAAAGGAGACCTAGTAGTTAGTAGGCTGCTTTTATATTTCTTAAATTGTGACCAAACTTAGTATGACCAAACTTGTTTTCTAGGAGTTATTCAAGTGGTAAAGTATGGGCTGCAGTACAAGTTTTGCAAGAAAATTTCTTCGAAGATACACTTCCCAACAGATTAGATTTACCCACTTGTGAATCTGTTCATCTGGTGGAAACTCTTTAGACTTTAGTTTTGAGATTTTAGTTTCAGCAAGGCGAGCCTGCATTATCCCTGCATACCCATCCATGTTGTACTCAACAGCTCTTTCTGATCACAGCTGATGAAGGACCTTATTTAAAGGTTGCTTTATTTGCTTCTCAACTGCCCTGCCTCCATCTTTTGTGCACACTTCAGTTAAACAACCTGTATCCTCTACTAGCATTTGAATGTGTCAGTCTTCCTTATTTCAAAACAAGAGATTCTGAGCATGGATCCTGAGATGGGTTTTGCCGGGATTCTTGATGACATATGATCTTCATACTTGCTTCAATCATTTCGTGTTTCATCTCCATTTATGTTGGTGTTGGTCAGCAAAAGGCAGCAGTCCTAAAATTATACTGCTTTGATGACCTGTAAGTCTTTTTTATTTTTTTTGCCTTTCGTTCTTTTGTAGCTCCTCCAGCTCTGTTTCTTATGCCTTCTCAGAGGACAAAGAACAATCCCAGCAGCTTCAGCATGGCAGGCTGACTTCATTCCTTATGCCAGTGCCAGTCCCAAAAAGAAGATTGGCCAATTTTCCCTTGTGGCATTTTTACCTTGGGGGCATGACTCCTCTCTTTACAGAAGGACTACCAAATCTGACTTATGGAAATCCCATGAATTCTTTGTCCCCTCAAGGATTCATTAACATTCAACAATGGAAGGAAAACATGCTACTGGAAGTTTAATATCCCCCAGGGGGAAAATGTCATGTGGCCCATACCATCAATGAGAGGAGAAAAGATTTTAATTAGATACTTTCTTAAATTTACGCATAGTCATCCTTAATTTGGGAGGTCTGTTTTTCTCATTTTTAGGATGGTGATGCAGGCACATTTTAAATGGTTTCTAAACACAATAGTGAACTTCTGCCTCAGAAGTCATCTTCTCAAAATCTTCAAATACGGGAAATCTAAGCAAAAATCCTGTCCCATAAGTTTGATGTAAATATATGTATTAGGCTTTTATTTGAAATGAGCTGAAGCCCTGGAGTTCCATATAACCTCTGTTTCATGTCATACCAGCTCAGCAGCTCTGCTTTGTCAGAGAACCAAGTACATCTAACTGGTTGAATCTCTTGCTGCTATATCTGGACAATCCTGCACCTGCAAAGTCATGTTGAATCAAGTTTGACACAAGGTAAATCTGCTGTGCTATCATTCTAGTAACAAGCAAGCTATCAATGATATCCAAAAAGTATTTAGAGCAGCTATGTTTGTATGGGGCGTGGGTGGCTACTTTAAGCACTGTTGCTTAGATTGCATTGCCAGAGAAGTGTCAAGGTTAAATAAGATTACATAGCCTCTTTGTGAGTAAAGTAAGTCTGTAAAAGTCTTCTGCCTTCTAGGATTTTTTATTTTTTGGGATGACTTTTTTTTTTCCTTTTTGGCAGCTTATTTCTATTTTGAGTCTTGTGTATTTTATCTCTGCATATGCATTTTTCTAAAACTAGAAAGCTCACAAGAATCATCTTATCTTCCATCTTGTAAAAATCTGTTTATATTCAAAGCAGTGTACACAGTGAATATATTTCAATTTTTACAAATTTCTTCTTCTGTTTTCCACTGTGAAAAGGGCAGAAGTCCAGAGCAATAGATAGTTTCTGTGTTACACTGCAGGGATAGATCTTTACAATTTGTGGGGTTGGACTCTTCCCATTTTGGTGTTTGGAAAGTTACAGGCCCAAAAGTGGGTGACTGCCTATGATGTGTAAATAATTTCCCCTTGGTCATTTCATGTGTACAAATTAAGATTATCAAATAAAGGCAAGTATAATAAACTCAGCTGAGTTATACAGAAACTAAGGATCCCTCTGTATATTTTTTTATTAATAGACAGTAATGTTCTTGCCAGTACATTTAGGATTTTCTCCATTTTTAAAAAATTATCCTTGTAACCCTTCGGGTCAGGGAGGATTAATCAGGAGTCCCTTTAGAGCAAGCAAGTCAGTGCCTTTCTTGAGTTGACTGATAAGATGGAAAGTCAAACAACACAAAGTATTCCCTTCAAGAAGCTGACTGACCTGCTGTTGCTCCCCCTAAGATTAATCAAAATCTTGTTTCCTGTATCAGTGTACAGAGCACAAGAACTAAGTTCACAACCTTCTCTCATTTTTAATTTACTTATCATCAAAGAGATTAATCAGTATAATGGACTGAACACATGGAAGGAGAGAACTGTCTTTGAAATGTATAAAATGAAATTAATGGGGTAGATAGGATGAAATAATGGCTGCATATTGTCTAGGAACATTGACTTTTCTTCCCT